CGGGGCTGTAGGGCGGCCGGGGATGCGAGAAGGCCTGACGCGGAGCCGGTGTTTTGTGTTTTTTTCCCCTCTTTTTATTATTTAACGAGCATGTTGGTAGCCGTCTCTGCTGTCTTTTGGTGGCTAGTGCAGCCGGCCAACCCCCCTCCTCTCTCCCTGTCGGTGTTTGTGTCGGCAGACAGAAAATGGAGTGCTCCTGCCCTCGCTGCAGTCGGCCCTGCCCTTCCTGGACCTGCACGGCACCCCCAGGCTGGAGTTTCACCAGTCCGTGTTTGACGAGCTGCGAGAGAAGCTGCTGGAGAGGGTCTCTGCCATCGCTTTGGAAGGGAAAGTCGAGGAGAGGTTTGTCAGCGGTCCGGTTGGTTGTTTGGAACAACCTGGGACTCTTATGTGAAAATGAGTTACAGTGGATGAGTGATTTCTGTAAAGGAGAGATGGGTTCATGGGGGATCAAGCTCCAGTGGCTTTGAGATGAGACACTTTGGTCAGTAGTGTTATGTGGTACTTACCTTTTGCTTTTTCATGTTTTCAGATACAAGAAGCTGGAAGATCTCTTAGAAAAGAGCTTTTCCCTGGTCAAGATGCCCTCCATACAGCCTGTGGTAATGTGTGTCATGAAGCACCTGCCCAAGGTAAAACCACGGCGCTGGTTGGCCTGTTCTGTAGTGTCTTTGTTGTGTAGCTTCTCGTAGCTGTGCCATTGGGTGGGCTGCATGCTCCATCTGCAGACCTTCCACAAGTTTGTCATTCAGTATTAGGAACCAACTGAAGATTTGCTACGTTCTTGTATCTGGTAACAGCTTAGACTAATTCAAAAAGCATTTTACATTTTCATAATCGGATGAGACTATTTCCCTATTTTATTCCATATGTGCAGCTTCGTAAAAGTAGTCAAGTTCATTGATAGGTGAATTTTTCCATGGCTGATTTAAAAACCTATGACAAGTGGAAAATAAGATTTGAAGAATGCAACTAGAAGTAGACAGGAGTGAGATTCAGATCTGTGAAACAAAAATCTCTAGGAGTAACTTTATTAAAACCATCGTAGTGTACTTAAGTAAAGATTAAGATTGGATTCAAAACTGCTACTAGAACTTTTGTAGGTTACTGAGTTTTGAAACATCACCCCAAATCACAGCATCATTGGTTTAAAGGTAGTCTGTTCCTCTTTGAAATAAATCTCTCAGGTTAGAGATAAGGAGGAAGTTCTTTACTGAGAGGGTCGTCAGAAGCTGGAACAGGCTGCCCAGGGAGGTGGTGGAGTCACCATCCCTGGATGTGTTTAAAGAGTGGGTAGATGAGGTACTTAAGGATATGATTTAGGGGGTAGACAGGAGCGGTTGGACATGATGAGCTCAGAGGTCTTTTCCAACCGAGCGATTCTGTGATTCTGTGAAATAAAGTTTGGTGCATAATTTGGTTGTTGAAGAAGTTAAATGTGTTAGGACTGGCTTACTGTTACAGGAGTAGGTAAGGCTAAAGATGAGCCTGGGGTACTGCCTGTTGTTTAATTGTAGTGTTGTGTTAATTACCAGATTGCCTGAGATTATGATTTAGATGTCCTCTGTAGTCAGTCACTTAGACAGTCAGGCAGGTGAGCTGCTCCACACTTCGGTGACTGCTCTGTTGATCACAGGTCCCTGAAAAGAAGCTGAAGTTAGTGATGGCCGATAAGGATTTGTATAAAGCGTGTGCAGTGGAGGTGAAGCGCCAGATCTGGCAGGATAACCAGGCTCTGTTTGGTGATGAGGTGTCTCCACTGCTGAAGCAATACATCCTGGAGAAAGAAAATATTCTCTTCAGCAATGATATTTCTGTCTTGCACAATTTCTTCAGTCCATCTCCCAAGACGAGACGTCAAGGAGAGGTAAGGACAAGGAAACCTTTTACGATATGCGTGTGAAGGAATTCATCAGCTTTCAGTCAACCTCTTCAGATAACACGGGGTCCATTTCACCCACCCAACTGCTACTGAAGTTGTTTAGCTGGGCAAAGTATTTGTGAGAAATAGCAGGCCGTTTTCTCCTTAGATCTTGATGAAAGCAGCAG